AAAGAATTGCAGACCAACGGCGATTCTTAGCAAAGAATAATAAAATATCTCCGATTGAATTACAAGAAATCAAACAACAAGTGGCACATGAACTATCATTAAATGAAACAACTGAATTAAATACCACAGTAGAAGTAGTGCCAGAAATAGAAGAGACACCTACAACAACAGATAACATAAACAATAAAAATGATGAAATAAACAGAATAACAGCAGAAAATGAACTAAAAACATCTTTAGAACAATATAAAGACTTTGAAATAGAATTCAGACCTAAATTACCAAAAATAAGAAGTGGCATTAAAACAAGATCTACTATAATAACGATAAATGATATACTTAAAGATTACATCGAAGAAAATATGTCGTTGAGCGCAATTAATACAATAACGTATTGTGCAGCAGTAGCAGTATCGAGACTCTTAGGCTACAAAATAGAACACATGTATACAACAAAACCAAATCAAGAAAATGTAATACCTAAATGGCAAAAGCGAATAGAGACACGGATAGAAGGGAAAAGAAAAATAATTGGAAGAATAACGCAAGTGTTAAATGGAAACAAATCAAAAAGACTTAACCAATCATTAAAAGATATATACCGATCATTACAGACAAAACCTGGAAAACCTGAATTTGAATCCATAATCCGAAATTACAACGACACATTAAAACAAACAGTTCAAGCACTATCACAAAGAATTAGAAGATATAAAATACAAAGCGAAAGACGAAAACAAAATACAATGTACTATAATAACGAAAAAATGTTCTATAGAAATCAAAATAAAATAAATTCAAGCAATAATAACAATACACCACAAATAGATGAAATAGAAAACTACTGGAAAGAAATCTGGAGTAACCCAAAGGAATATAAAGAATCTAATTGGATAAATGATATTGAAGATGAAAATAAAGAAATACCACAAATGACTTCAGTAAATATAATTAAAGATGACTTAACCGAAGCCCTCAAGAAATCCCACAATTGGAAAAGCCCAGGACAAGACAAAATACAAAACTTCTGGTATAAACACTTTACAACAGTTCATCAACCAATGGCAATAGCAATGAATAAAATAATACAAACAGGACAAACCGATGACTTCCTCACTTCCGGAATAACATATCTACTCCCAAAAACAGAAAATACATCAGATCCCAGCAAATATAGACCCATCACTTGCCTAACAACAATGTATAAAATCCTAACATCCATAATATCAACAAAAATATATAATCATTTAAGTAACAACAACATAATAGCTGAAGAACAAAAAGGCTGTATAAAACACTCGATGGGCTGCAAAGAGCAATTAACAATAGACAATATCATAACAATAAGAGCTCGTCAAAAACATAGAAATCTTGAAATGGCATACATAGACTATAAGAAAGCATTCGATTCAGTCCCTCATAAATGGTTATTAAGAGTGTTAAAACTATATAAAATTGACAACACACTGATAAACACATTAGAAAATATGATGAAAAAATGGAATACTAAATTGTGTGTCAATACAAATAATGGAACAAAAATAAGTACAGAAATCAAAATAAATAGAGGAATATTTCAAGGAGATTCACTCAGTCCTCTGTGGTTCTGCTTAGCCATAAACCCACTGTCATCACTACTTAAAAAGCTAAAAGGCGTAAATCTAAAATCAAGTGATACAAAATATAATCTAACACATCTACTATATATGGACGACTTAAAACTATACGCCGAAAAAGAATCTGATTTAAATGCAATGCTAAAAACAACAGAAACTTTCTCCAATGATATAAATATGGAATTCGGATTAGATAAATGTGCTATAATGAAACTGAAAAGAGGAGTCTATTCTGAAAGAAATCAATACGAAACTGAAAACGGATATATAAAGGCACTAGAAAATGGAGATATATATAAGTACTTAGGAATTAAGCAAATGCATAAATCTAAAATGACAGAAGTTAAAGAAGAAATAAAGAAAACATTAAATCAAAGAATAATAAAAATACTAAAATCTCAACTAAACTCAAACAACAAATTCAAAGCCATAAACACTTGGGCTATACCTGTACTGACATACTCGTTCGGAATAATAAAATGGAGTAAAACAGAACTTGAGACCATTGAAAGACATATAAGGCGACAACTTACAATGTTTGGACTACACCACCCTAGAAGTTCTGTAGCACGACTGTGTGTTAGTAGAAAGCATGGGGGTAGAGGGTTACTAAACATTGTAAGCCTTGAGGCCAAACAGCGAGAACTGTTGAGAAAATACCATCAACAAAAATGCTATGTCTCAGAGCTCCACAAAATAACATCAACACTCGATTACAACTACACACCTCTAAACCTCAGCAATATTGAACATCAAATAGATATACAAAATGAAAAAGAGAGGATTAACACATGGGCCTCAAAAGAACTCCACGGAAGATACCGGGCAGAACTCAACCAAACACACGTAGACGAAGAAATGTCTACAAAATGGCTGAAGTACGCCGGTCTTCACGGAGAGACAGAGGGGTTCATGATGGCAATACAAGATCGAGTGGTTCCGACCCGTAACCATCAGAAATATATCCAAAAGCTAAACATACCAACAGACAAGTGCAGGATGTGTCATATGGAGTCCGAAACAATAGAACATATACTAAATGGGTGTAAAGTACTCACAAATACCGAGTACCTAAGCCGTCACAATCAAGTAGCCAAGATCATACATCAGGAACTGGCAATAAGATTCGGACTAATCAAAGACCCATTACCATACTATAGATACGAGCCACAAAGTGTAATGGAAAACAACAGCGCCAAGCTCTACTGGGATAAAGAAATAAGAACTGATAAGACTGTGGCCCACAACCGCCCAGATATAGTCCTAGTAGACAAACATCAAGATAAGGCGTATATAATAGACATAGCGGTCCCACTAACACATAAATTACAGGACACGCATAGTGAGAAACGTCGGAAATATACAGACTTGGCCTATGAGATCAATAAGATGTGGCGCATTAAGAAAGTTGAAATAATACCTATAATACTGTCATCAATGGCCGTAATACCGAAAAATCTGGCCCTAAGTTTGGAATCACTGGAAATCAGAAAAACTAAGATCTATGAAATGCAAAAAGCAGTGATACTTCAGAGTTGTAGAACAGTCAGAAAAGTACTAGATTTGAGTTGAGTCTAACCAGTCGTGTCTCTGCCACCAAAAGTGGCCGACACAACTGTGATCACACCGGAACAACCGTGATATACAAAGATAATAATAATAATAATAATAATAATAATAATAATAATAATAATAATAATAATAATAATAATATATAATTATATTTATCATAAATAATTTTAAATGATTTTTATTTTATCTTTACATATATATATATATATACATAAATAGCTACCGATACTAATATTATGGCAAATCAGTACTATTATGACTGTTGTACATTGGATAGCACTTCAGGCCTATTTTACGGCCATAATAGTTGTATCGGTTGGCCATTTGGTAATCAAATTGTTTGAAGTAAACAAAAAATTCAATCAGGCCTTCGGTACGGGCGATACTAGACTACTGTTGCTGGCTATCCGTGAGCACCAGTATGTTAGCAAACTAATCCAAGTGGTCAACCAATATCATAGTACATGGCTGGCAGTAGCCTATTATCTATGGTATTCAATTATGGTACTATTACTATACTGTCTATGGCACTATCAATTGCATCCAATCTATCAATTTATATATTATTTAACATTAAATATGCAAATTATTTTGGGTCTGCACCTGACTATGTTAATTATTATTTTCAATAAACTAGCCCATTGGCCAATGGTATGTATGAGCCGGTATCTGTATAAGCGGCAACAAGCGGCAACTGTATTAGTATTATTGAGATATAGACTAACTATACAGTTATATATTGAACAGTTGACTACTAATACCATAGGGTTTTATATAAGCGATTGGTTTCCGATTACTAGTTTAGCACTATTTCAATACACATTTTTTCCTATTTAATGATTATCTATTGTTTATTTCATTATTAGAGTAACTAATATTTACAGTTAATACTAGTATATTGCAAAATATTTTTTTTTCCTAATTTAATTAGTAATTTTCGTGTGAATAATATTTTTCAAACAAACAAAAAAATTTCAAGTTTCAAAATAATTAAATATATTATATTTAAGTAATATAACTTATTTTTTTTGATTCTAGAATTATATTTATTTTTATTTAAGTATATCTAATAATTCAGGTAATTTACAATAATAATAATAATAATAATAAAAAGTTTATGATTGCTATATAATAGATAAAAAATTAATATAATAATTAATTAAAAATTAATTAAATAAATAAATAATAATATTATTTCTAATTTTAAAACTATTTTATTATAATTTATTTTTTTAATATATTAATAATAATACTAATTATAATATATATATTTTTATAAAATTTTATCTGAATTACTAATGAATTTTCTAGAATAACTATAAAATATATCTAAATCTAGAATATTTTTTTTTTTAATTTTTTGTTTTGTTTATTAAGATCAATAAATACAGTATATGACACTAATTAGTAGAGATGGGCAAAATAGGAAATTTCTAATAAATTTTCGATGAAAGAAAATTTCTAGTAACTTTCTATAGAAATATTGTAAAATTATTTAATATTTTAATGAGACTATATATTCTAATTATTAAGGATTCTATGATATATATATATATAGAGAGAGAGAGAGAGTATATATATAGTTAATTTATACTGTATATATATAGTATATAGTATATATATATATATATATATATTATACATATTCAAATGGGATCCATATAAAGTTTATATAAATTTTGTAAAAAATTTTTTTTATTAATTATTAAATTATATTTAAGTAGTTTAATATAAATAAAAATTATTATTTTTTCACTTGTTAATTATTATTAATTAAAAATACAAATTAACTAATAATAATAATAATAACATTTAACTACTTATATTACTTGTTTTTAGTAACAGAGACATTAGTATCTTATTTAGTATTTATAAAAATTTTTAAAAAAAAATAATTTATAAACATTTATAGTTAAATATTTATTAGTTTATTAGTATAAAATAACATACAAAATATAGTTATAGTTATGCATAACTTTGATGATTAAAATTATTATTACTATTATTAGTGTTTATATTATTATTATCTAAATTAATATTATTATTATTATTATTGTTAGTATGAATGGGCTGTTCATCAAAGTTTGTCTGTATTTTTTGTTGCTGACTACTAGTGCTGTTAGGATAGGGTTGAAAACTAGCCAACTGTTCCAGTGTTGCATTAATCTCCTGTATGTCGACTGTCGACTCTGGCCTAACAATCGATGGCCTAACAGCCGATGTCGGCTCAGACTGTTTCGGTTCCCTTTGAACTTTGAACACCCGTTCCCATTGCCGACGAAAACAGCGATAACAATGTTGGGACAGATGACAGCAAACTACCAGTGCTATGATCAACAGGACAATGATTGCCGTTATGGCAACCATTATGACAATGGCCAATGCTTTAGATGACATACCCGATGACGATGATGATGATGAACTACCAGTGCTTTTCCTGGTAGATGTCGGGTATTTACTTGAATCTATACAAGTGGGCGGTGTTCCGCTCCAAGTGCCGTCCGTTTGACAAATACGTGTACGCGAACCGACCAGCAATGGCCGGCCGCTAACACCGTACATAGTACTGGCGCATCGGGCAACGGCTACCGTACCCAATACGATAGCCGATGCTGTATTGGGTACCGACTCTGCTTTGGCCCGATTCTCCAACTGTGTAAACACACCGTACTGGTCGACAATAGCCGGACACTGGCCCCGTACGAGACGACAGGCCGGGAAACCGAGTCCACCCGTTGCCCATTTACCATTGGCCAAACAGGGTACGGTTTTCGGACCAACCAGTTCATAGCCGTCCTCACAACTATATACGGCTATCTGATTGACAACTCTGACCACCGAATTCAATGGCCGGTCGGGTGTACCGCACAAATCCGATGTATGATAAATCCCTAGCAAACACAACGATAGGTTTTGTTTTTGTTGGTCACCAAACTTCGGGTCCATTTGCCGTGGATCTACATCCAGTATAATCTCGTCAACACCCGATCCGTAGACTGAGGCCGAGTAGTCGTGTCCACCACCACCACTGGCCCCACCACTGTGATCGCCGCCGCCGCACTGAAACATTACATATGTCTGATCTTTGATCCAGTCGTATATGTTAGTGATCGGACAGTTAGTTTTACCCCCCAACATTGCCCGTATAGGTTTGGACGAGTAGTTTTTAGCTGCCGATTCATCCCAATTGCTAAACCCACCGTACATACCGCCCGGTTTCAGCATCAAATAAAACATACTGACCACTGTCTGCGATTCATTCAGCCGTATACGCCATTTCTGGCGACCCGTCGTTAGGTTAAAATGGACACATTCGTCATCTTTACTACCGTGACCACCGAGTGCCGTACGATAGTTATAGTAGGTATCGCTACTACTATCTGTCTCGTTAAGGGCTGTCGTCTCATTACGCACCGGGCGTTGCCATTCATAGATCAGTTCGCCTGTGGTATAATCGGTTGATATAATACCGATTACTTGGACACTACCGCCGTATTCAATCTCTGGATTGATTGATTGGTTGGTTGGTTAATAAAATGTTTAGATAGTATAGGCGCTTATATAGGAAACTTACCGCACAGGCCTACATTGCCAATCCATTGCCTATTGATACACACGCGTGACTCTTTTTGCGCGTGCATTGAATGATATATTGATTCGCACGTGTAGTAGATTTTCGTACCGTTCGGATAACTGCTCCGGAGGTCGGCCGATCGGTAACGTGATTGAGACGGTTTGGCATAGATGGGCAGTGCCGGCAGTCCGCACTCGTTTCGTTCATACGATGCACTGGTAGTTTGATATATAAAAGATATATCATCAATATTTAGGGTGGAAAAAACTACTGATACCCTACTGTACTAGACATACAATGTCTATATACTGTACTTACAGCTCAGGTAGTTCGGTGGCATTCATAGCTTTTAGTTCAAATACATCCGTGTATTTATCCAATTTTAATTCATTAAGATCTACCATATAATTAACAACAAAAACAAACGTTATTTTTTAGGTATGTCCCACACTCATATCTACACACAAACACACACAGACACACACATACACACACACACAGACACACACACACAGACACACACAGACACACACAGATACACACACATACATACATACCTACACATACACACACACACATACATACAGACACACATACAGACACACACAGACACACACAGACACACACAGACACACACAGACACACACACACACAGACACACACACACAGACACACATACAGACACACATACAGACACACATACAGACACACATACAGACACACATACAGACACACATACAGACACACATACAGACACACATACAGACACACATACAGACACACATACAGACACACATACAGACACACATACAGACACACATACAGACACACACACAGACACACACACACAGACACAGACACACACACACAGACACACACAGATACACACACATACATAGACACTCACACACACATACATACATACCTACACATACACACACACACACATACATACAGACACACATACAGACACACACAGACACACACACACAGACACATACATACAGACACACATACAGACACACACAGACACACACAGACACACACACACAGACACACACACACAGACACACACACACAGACACACACACACAGACACACACAGATACACACACATACATAGACACTCACACACACATACATACATACCTACACATACACACACACACACATACATACAGACACACATACAGACACACACAGACACACACACACAGACACACATACAGACACACATACAGACACACATACAGACACACATACAGACACACATACAGACACACATACAGACACACATACAGACACACATACAGACACACATACAGACACACATACAGACACACATACAGACACACACACACAGACACACACACACAGACACACACACACAGACACACACACACAGACACACACACACAGACACACACAGATACACACACATACATAGACACTCACACACACATACATACATACCTACACATACACACACACACACACATACATACAGTCACACACACAGACACACACAGACACACATACAGACACACATACAGACACACATACAGACACACACAGACACACATACAGACACACATACAGACACACATACAGACACACATACAGACACACATACAGACACACATACAGACACACATACAGACACACATACAGACACACATACAGACACACATACAGACACACATACAGACACACATACAGACACACATACAGACACACAGACACACATACAGACACACATACAGACACACATACAGACACACATACAGACACACATACAGACACACATACAGACACACATACAGACACACATACAGACACACATACAGACACACATACAGACACACATACAGACACACATACAGACACACATACAGACACACATACAGACACACATACAGACACACATACAGACACACATACAGACACACATACAGACACACATACAGACACACATACAGACACACATACAGACACACATACAGACACACATCCCTGGAGTTTAACCTACCGACACAATAGGGTTCGACACCACTCCATTTGCCCGATTCGGTACATACCCGTACCGAATCGCCAATCATAACCTGTGTCCGATTGGGAAACACTTGGCACTCGTAGGTAACTCGCGAACCAGGTATGGCCACATAGGATTGAGGATGAGGAGGATAGGATGAGGACAATGATTTCGTAGAGTTACGGGTGCTATACATATGCAGATCATAGTATATTCGGTAAACAGTAACCAAATCTTCGACATTGGCGCCACCATCCGAGGGCGACTCTACTGGTACGGGACAGGTAACTGTCGGATGACAGCCGGGAAACGAGTCCAACCAGTAGTTATTGATACCGCATCGGACATCCTGTTGTTGGCCAGCAGTTGTTAGCTGGAAATTACGGTCACACGTATAGCGATAGTATGACATCAGTCCATATCGACTGCCGGATCGTACAAATTCTACCGACGAGTGCAGGGGATAGTCGGGTGAACCGCATACATGAGGATCGAAAAACTTGCGATAAAACAACCTGAGCTCGCAAATGGCTATCTTGTTTGTGTTGAACCTATTTTTTTTTAAATATCAATATATATTTGTATAGTATTTATACTGTATATACATGTATAATATACATGTATATACAGTATAAATACATATACATATATACACATATATATACATTGTATATATAACTTATATTTGATATTATTATTATTATTATTAGTTAATAGTAAATGTTTAGTTAGGCTATGCATCTATAGATAGTATATACATATATACAGTAAGGGTATGGGGGGGAAACACCTATTTGTATTACTAAATCAGTACTGTACACATACCCCTCCCTCCCTTCCCCACCCATTAAGTCTAGTCCATATCATACTCAAACTCAAACATAATCCTAAATATAATAATATACTGTAATTATAAAAATATTAATATACTAACCACTGATGAGAAAAGTTTTATATATTAATAGTTATAAACTTTACTTAAATCATATTGTTGTTATAGACACCCCCACCCCACTCCACCCACACTTATAATTTTTATTAAAAAAACATTTTATCTTTATTTAATTAATTTATGTTTACTAATAACAACAATGTTTAATCAACTATTGATAAACTAATGGTACTGTATATTAGATAATCAATAACTAGAGGTTTAAACATCAAAATCTATTAATATTAATATAAACTTTTTTTTTCATCAAATTATTGATAACTATTAGTTTTTAATACAAATTAATAATTAATATGTAACTAAATAACTAAAGTGTAGTGTAGTTTTTTTTTAAACTATTGAATATTTTATATGTTGTTTTTATTTTTTATAGCTAATACTCAATTTTAGAAAAAAATAAAATAAACTTAAATTTATTAACAATAACAATAAAATACACTAAATTTTTTTTTTAAACACTACTAATATTTTTTTTAAAACTATTGTTTTTTAAGTAATTTTTCAACCCATTCCCCCACCATCACTACTACCCCCATCCAACTACCCTCCCATACCATCCCATACTCTCCCATACCCTCCCATACCCTCCCATACCATCCCATACCATCCCATACCATCCCATCCCATACCATCCCATACCATCCCATACCCTCCTATACCATCCCATACCCTCCCATACCCTACCATAGCCTCCCATACCCTCCCATACCCTCCCAGTGCTCGATACACACAGACACATACTTGAGGGTAAAATTTTGGACGACATCTTTGGAATAGTACGACCACATTGTCTCGTCGTCGGTAGTGGTCATCAAATCGCAAACAAGTATCAATCGGACGACATTTGTTACGCCCAGACCGCCTATCGTACTGACCACCGAACACGACCTGACCGTATTGAATACCGTTTCGACCAGCGATTCCCCGTTGACTTTGTTGTTGGCAGTGTTGGTGTTGACGGCACCGCCGACATTGACCAACACTTCAACATAGGATATATGGGAATACTTACGCCTGAGAAACACCTGATAGGAGACACCGCCGTTACCGCCGCGCCTGGAGTTTGAATTCAATGCCAGACACTTGTCCCGTCCGCTATCGCCTACATAGGCTTTACCATCCGAACCGGCAATCATTGACTTATCGGTGACCAACTTTTTACGGCCATAACTGTCTTTAATCAATACCTTATCGATTGAGTTTTCGCCAATTTCTTCGGCTATTTTAGAAAAACAAAAAATTTTATTATCAGTGATAATAATATATTTGTTTTTTAAGGCTCATGTAGTCATGAAACCTACAGTACTAACTGACCACAAAAAGGTACTGATCCGACCCATTGGCCATTAATACATTCGCGTAGTTTGCCTCTCAACAGTGTCAGCTCCGGTAGTTCACAGTAGTATTCAATTTGTGAGCCCTCCGAATATGTATCACTAAAATTAATTAATTAATTAATTAATATATTAAGTAATTTTTAAAAATAAATAAATAGACATTTATTTTATATTAATGTTAGTGTATATGAAAATTAATTTAATTTAATTAATTAATTAATAAGATATTAAATAGTTATAAAAATAATACTAATAATAAATATATTATTATTAGTATTATAAATATGAAAACTAATTTAATTAATTAATTAATAATATATTATGTAGTTATAAAAATAATACTAATAATAAATATATTATTATTATTACTATTACTAAATGTGAAAATTAATTAAATTAATTAATAATATATTATGTAGCTATAAAAATAATATTAATAATAAATATATTATTACTATTATTACTAAATATGAAAATTAATTTAATTAATTAATTAATAATATATTAAGTAGTTATAAAAATAATACTAATAACAAATATATTACTATTATTATTACTAAATATGAAAATTAATTTAATTAATTAATTAATTAATTAATAATAATACCGAAAGTCATTGATTTTGGCATTTGAAGGAATGGCTGGTAAACCGCAATCACAATCACTTAATTGAATTAAAATTGATTTAATTATAAATAAATATTGAATAATATTTATAATATAATAATAATAATTTTGTTTTATTAATTGCATAATTTTATTTTAGTATTATAATTAATATCAGTAATAATAGTAATAATACTGATATTTAATATAAATTTATGATGATGATAATTTTTATTTGTTGTTTATGATATTACAGTTTTATCACAACAATTGTACAAAAAAAATAATTAATTTTATTTAATAATGTATTTTTTAAAAAAAATAAAGTTTATTTGTGTTATACTGTATGATACTTAAGCTGAATAAATATATGAAAATTACTTTTAATAAAAAATTATATTATATATTATATTATATTTATTTTTTTCTGTGTATCCCAAACTAAATTGACATTATGTGTAAATATTATTATTATTATTATTATTACCCATATACCAAGTGGTACAAGGTAAATTAATTATACTATTAATATATTATAATGTGTTATGTGATATTTATCAATATAAATATATATATAATTTTTAATTATAGAAAATTTATAGTTATTAGAAACTATTGTTAAATTTATAATAATATTTTATATGTTATTATTTTAGAAAATAGTTATTTTTTGTTTTTTTTAAGTTTATTATACTAAACATTATAAAAAGATTAAATACTATTAAATATTAAATTATTATTATGTAAAATAAAATATTAATTGAATTAAATACTATAAATAAATATATATTTTTACAAAAAAAAGTTTCTGATAATTATTATTAATCGTATATTTTTATTATTTTTATTATTTTTATTATTTTTATTATTTTATTTAATATTATTTCTGATTGAAAATTTAACAATATCTAAAAAATATTAGTATTTAAACTTTTAAAAAATAAATTAATGTTTTTAAATTAAAAATGAAACATTTAGTTCAAAAGTAATTATATTTAACTATAGATTTATTCAATATATTTTTTACATTAATAAATTGTTACAGTTTTTTTCAATTAATTTATTTAGAAAATTATTATATAATTGCTAAATGTTTTCATCAAATTTAAGTAAAACAATATAATTTTACTTATTATTGCAAAAAAAATCAAATTATTATTTTAATATATTTATAAATTATAGTTTCAAAAATTTTGTTTAATATTTAATTATTTTTTTTAAAATTAATATTAAACTAAATACTTATAAACTAAGTATAAATTATTATTAAAAAAAATTTAATTAAGTATTAAGTTGTGATAAATGATATATCTTTTATAATATAAAATATTTAGATCTTAATCTGTTTTTTTTGTTGTTGAAAACTATTAGCAAATTATAAATGAAAATTAAAAATATTGTTTTAAAACAATTTAATATATGTCTAACATTGTTATTAATTTTTTAAAAAAAAATATATATATTTATTAAAATTATTTTATTTTCATTATTAATAATAATTTATTTATAGTTCTATTTTTAGTGTTATTTTTATTTATTTTATTTAAAAAAGATTTACTTATTATTATTTTATTAGTATTTTATTTGTTTTTTTTGTTGGTATTATAAGAGATGTTTCAAGTTTTATGTATTTAATACTATTAATAATAATAATAATAATTGAGTTTAAATTCAATGACTTTAAATGATTTTATTTTTTATATTATTATTATTATTATTATAATAATATAAACTTTTACATAAACTGTCTGTACGTATATATATATATTTGAAATTTAGTTTTTAATACCCATGAATATAATCATATAATAGATTATGATTATTTTTATTATTATTTATTTAAATAAATAAATAAAAAGTTTTTATTTTATTTTTTGAAAACATAAAATACAGTAAAAATAATGAGATTGTATTATATATTAAGTGATGAATGCATTCAATTGGCGATCCATTTAAATGATGATAACATACCGTAAAAGTGAAATACAATTTATCTATTTATTTATATATATATATACTTAATATATAAAACAGTTTTTTTTGTAATATTAATATAATATATTTCGTGATTCACTTAATAATTAGTTTGTATATATATATATATATATATATATATATATATATATATATATATATAAATAAATACTAAAAAACTGCATTTTATTATTAATACATTTTATTTAGCATAGTATTTGTTATACAGTTTTAACTTATATATATATATACAGTATATATATATATTGAAATTAAAAATAGGATGTTTTATTAAAAACTATTTTTAGTAAATACAACACACATATATGTACAGTACATATATATATATATATATATATATATATATATATTGTACTGAAACATAGTTACCCCTTAATATTGATGAACTCTATCATCACTAGTCTAGCAAATTGAGGGGAACTGGAGATATGTTTAGAAGTTTAGTTGTTTTTTTTGCTTTGAAGAACGGGTCTCTCTCTCTCTCTCTCTCTCTCTCTCTCTCTCTCTCTCTCTCTCTCTCTCTCTCTCTCTCTCTCTCTCTCTCTCACACACACACTAACTCTAACACCGGTTGATTCGTGTCATCTCAACCCTCCTTTCCAATCATTTTTACCGTTGAAAACAATAATAACAAAAAAGCAATACATATATAGTTTATATATATACGGTATATATAAACTATATATATATATATATATATATAGCAAATTCATAAAACACTAATTTTAGAAAATAAAATTACTTATATTTTTATTTATTATTATTATTATTATTTGTTTGTTTGTTGAAAATAAAATATCAGTAAAAATTATATATCCTTTTCATATATATATATATATTGAAAGAGTAAGAGAGAGATATATAGACTATTATATTGTTGTTATTTTTGGTTAAACTAAACTTTTTATTATTATTATTAGTTATTATTGTATTTTCTACTTTTAAAATAAAAATAAATAATATTGTTTACTGTTATATATTGATATTATTTATTGATATTATTGTGTTTATTACGGTTGTTATAACTATAATATATTTTCTATTATGAATTATTAGTTTAAAATAACTTTTATGAATATACTGTATATATATAAAATTTTTATTTTATTATCAAAAATAATAAATTGTTAAAATTGTTATTAGTTTTCAATTTGGTAAATTTGCTGCTGAAATAAAAACTTGTTAAAAGTTTCAATTTATATATATATATATATATACTAAATATTTCTACAATAGTTTTAATTTGTAATTTTAATTTTTTGTTCAAAAAATTGTTATTATTATTATTAATATTGTGTTAATTTTATTTAATAATAATAATAATAATAATGAAATTAACATCAATGGATAATTTAATTATTGTTATTGTGCTAACATTTTTGAATATTATTTACATTACAAATTCACATCATATAATATCAAGGGTAATATATATATAWAWATTTTATATATAATAAATAATTATTGTTTTAATTAATTAATTAATTAATTATTAGACCAAAAGGGGTGCCTATGATCTGCCCGATGGTTGGTATCTATTGAGGAACTCTATTGAGCCTACATTTGAGTGCCAATCGGACGGCTATTTTGCTGATACAGCTAATGAGTATTATTATTATTATATAATTAATTTTTTAAATTAATTAAAATTTTGATTTTTTTTTATTTTCAATCAATAGTTGTCAACTATATCATGTTTGCCAATTTATTAGTCTACCCTATTCAAAACCAGTAAGCTAAATTTTTTTATTTATTTAAATTATTTTTATAAAATTATAAAAATAAATTATTTTTAATAATTTTATTAAATAATTAATAATTTTTTTTTAGTCAAATTTAGTTTTAGTAATTTTATTATATAATTAATAATTTTTTTTTCAAATTTAGTTTTTATAATTTTTTTAATATCTAATATAATATTCAATGTTTTAATGTTTTAATTAATTAAGATTTTATTACAAATTATTTGATGCAACTAAAAGCAAAAAAAATTTTTTTGTTACATAATTTTTATTATTATTATTATATTATTTTCTTAGTTAYTTATTATTGTATTAATTCAATTGTTTTAAATGATACTCATTATTATTATTATTATTAATTTTTAATGATATTTATCTCTAGAGTTCATCTGATTTTTTAAAAAAAAAACTAAAAAACTAAAATTATTTAAATTATTAAATCTATATAGTTTTTATAATTTAGTTTATCAGTATATAATTTAATTATTAAATCTAAATTATTATTGAATAAAATAACTGATGATATTATTGATATTTTTAAATATTTTTTATTATCTATATATTTTGTATTTATTATAATAATTAAAATAATTAAATATTTTGAAATTTTATTATATGATAGTATGTATACCTGAATATCTAGATTATGGAAAAAAATTATTTTTTATATAAAAATTATTTAGTATTACTATAATATATCTTAAAAATTATTAATAAAAATAAGTTAAATGTTTATAAATAAAATAAATAGTATTAATATATTTAAATAAAATTTTTATTATAATGTTTATGTATTTATGTTTTTGTTTGAGTGAGTGAGTGAGTGAGTGAGTGAGTGAGTGAGTGAGTGAGTGAATTGATGATGAGATACGATGATTAACCTAAAAACTATTGTAGTTTTCACACGTTTTTTCAAAAAGTATAAAATCGTTTTTTATTTTAGTAGAAAAGTTAACAATTATTGTAATATTTTTTTACCACAATTTAGGCACAATATGATAATTCATTATAATAATTATTATTATTATTATTACATAACAAATTATACAATAGTATTATATATATATATATATATATAATAGTTTTTCAAACACATCACACAAATTATAGCTGAATATTATAATTAAATATATAATAAAAACAATTGATTTTTTTATATGTTTCCGAAAAAAACTATTTATAACTTTTTATAATAAGTTTTAATATAAAACTTTTATATTTGTTTTGAGAAAAAAAACATTTCTATTTTTATTTTATGTAAACAATTATAATATTATCACTAATCGATCGAAACGTTTTTTTATGATTACTTATTAAATTAATTAATTATTATTATTTATTTTTATAGTAAAATTTACATATAAATTAACTTAAATATGTTAAATATTTATTTAAACATTATATACATAAAATTATTAACGATTGAAACATTGATTTATATCTTAAAAAATAATATAAATAGGAAATTATAACTGAAATTATTATTATTATTAGTTAGTTATATAATTATTATTATACACATATGTCTAACAACACGATATAGATATTAATATTTATTTATTTTTGGTATTTATTTTTGAATTTTAATTTTTTTTAATAAATATTTTTAAATATTTATATAAAAAAAAACTAGCGTTTCCTACATTACTCGTTCATATGCGGCAACGGTACAGTGTTTAACCAACTGACCCAAACATGTACACTGGAAAGTCAACTGTCGGTGCCGTGTAGGTCATCCCCTGAACTATACTATA